AACCAAATTTAGTCTTTTCTATCATCTTGATTAGATTAATTCCAAAACAATTTAGGTCACAACAATTTATGGGATGAAGAATTTCCTTAATTAATTCCCTTTTTGTTCAACTCTAGACAGTGAGTGGTTAAGTCATTCGCCCCAGCCCATAAGCTACTCTGGGGGCAAGAACAGCATTTTCTCTGTGTTGTTTAATCTGAGCTCTTAGGTGCTTGGGCAGTGCCCTGAGTACTCTGTAGAGTATTCAGTACCCTTGTTTGATGTTGCTGATGAGATGCAAATAAAAATTTAATTTTAATATTTTATTTAATATTTAATATTAAATTTTTTTTCAAAACTGAAAAAATATTAAAGATTTAGTAAAAGCAACATTAGAAAAGAACAACATAACTAATAGTGTACCTGGTTATAGCATCAGGACATAGCAAAATAGCATCAGGGCCTTGGAGTTAGAACTATAGGATACAAGACAACTCTGCTACTGCCTGATTTGGGTCAAGTTTTTAAATTTCTAGTAACTTTAGTTTTCTCACATAAAAAATTAAAATCATTTTCTCCCTCACAGATTCTTTTTAATTTTACTGAGATATATGTGAAGATACTGAGAAATAAGTTAGAACATTGGATTGGTATTGCCACTATAGTAGGTACTTTATCTCAGAAATAATTATGAAAGTATGAAGAAAATACGGAAGATCGAAGAGGATATTAAATAAAGTTCAGAGTAAAATATTCAACCATAGACTTAATAATACACTAATTGTACTTAATATATTTATTGTATTAATTCTGAACCATAAATATATTCTATATCATTTCTTCAAAGTGGAGGCTGTTAAAGTTTTATAGTTTTCCTTAGCTGACAAAACCCTTTGCTCAGAATCAACTTTATTCTGTGAACTCTAATTAGCAGGGTATGGTGGCCAACAATGTTGGAATGACTCCTGTGGGTCATAGATAAGAATTTTGGAATCTGGACTCAACTTTAAAGAACTTGAGCCCAGGAAAACTCATTAAAGCCAAAGGACTCTAGGTTTATTTTCTTATTTAATAGAACACTTAAGAATATAACAAAGAATTTTGATGGTCATTAAAGTTTTATTTAATCATAATTATAAAAGATGCTCCCTCAAATAAAAAAGTGTGTATTTTAGAAACATATTAAAATGTTCATCAAAACAGTTAGAGGATTGTGGGGTTGTAGAGATCATCCAGTGCAGTCTAGTTGTCTTGCAGGTATGGGAAATGAGGTACACAGTTCAATTATGGTTGCAGTTCGCTAAAACCCAGGAATCTTCCTCCATGTTTAATGTACTTTCTATCACATTTGTACAACTTTTAAAGAAAATGTACCTTCCAGTTTGTCAGGATTGAGGAAATGAAATATTAATCATTCTCTAAAAAATTCTGTTTGCTTAAATAATTATATTTATTATTGGGTTTTGAAATCTGCTTAACTTTTTCTTTTTAAAAATATCAGTAAAATAACTTCAATATTCAAGTTCCTGTAGGAAAAAAATGGTATTTTTCAAACTTAGGTGCACACCAGAATCAATAGGGAGGTTTAGGAAATACTGATTGATGCTTGCACCTCACTGCGAGGGATTTTGATAGATTTAATCTGAGATATGATATGTGTTGAGATTTTTTTTTTATTTCCTAGGATATTCCAATATCAGCCAAAATTAAGAACCACTACAAGGTCAACAAAACAGGAAGATTAGGTAGTGAGAATCTAAGCTACCCAGGATATGATTCTAGTCTCTTCCCTTCCCCCTTATTATCTGATCATAACATTAAATGAAGAATTGATGCATTTTGTCCCTCTTACAATTTTAAAATGCCTGCTGAAATTCCAAATGTTTGCTTAACACTGATAACTTAAATAAGAGTAGTATATATTCCTTGTTGTTAAAGGAAGTTTTTGTTAGGGTGGATCAGTTTAAGAGGTATTCATAGCATTGAAAATTAGATAACTAAGGGAGAATGTTAAGACAAGGCATGCACAGCTGCCTTTGCCCACTGATATGATCCATTGATGGTAGTAGGTGGGCATGAAATATTTCTTTGCACACCCAGGTGTATAGGAACATTCTTAGATATCTATTGTATCTAGAAAACTAGTTTGTCCAGTGAATGAAACAAAAGCTTTAGTTTGTAACTAAAGGTACATTTGCTATTTTCTCATTTGAAATTACTCAGAATCTGGTCTTCATCTGTAATCATTTTCATAGATTTTTAATAGACATTTGAGAGTGTCTTGTACAGACTTTGATTTGATAATAGTAATAGTGGTGAATAATAATTACTACCTTTTAAAACACATTCAGCTGAGAATTTTATCACTAATAGACACTCTTATAGTCAATTAACAACTAATAAACATTTTAAAATAGAAAATTTTGATATTTTGTGTGATAGACAAAAATCACATTTATACTTTAGTAGATATTACATGTATGTTAAATTTAAGCATCATTTTCCCAAAGAATTAATTATGGTATATATAATCCCTGGATATAGATTCTTGAGCAATGACCTCAAGAGTTCAATTTGGCAGTAGCCTTCACAATTGGTATAAAATACTTACAACAATGACTCTGCCTCTGTGCTTCTGCCTCTTTGTGTGTGTGTGTGTACACCACGGAAAGGAATTGAAAACTATTCTCTCTTCAAGTACAGAATATATTTTGTTTTTATCTTGGTGATTGACATGGTGATATGATGACTAGTAAATCAGTCACTAGTGTTGAGATATTAACCAGTTGAAAGTAAAATCAAATGCTTTTCCAAGGGTCAGTCAAAAATTTCCTAAACAATTTCCATTATTTCTCTCCAGTCACAACTAATTTAAAATGTAATATTCTGTCACTTCTGTGCTTACTGATATCAGGAGGTTGTCAAAAATATCTCTTCATAAATTAAAAAAAGACAATTCTGAACCTAAATTTCATTGTTGGGAATGGGAAGGGTCCAGTTCGCTTAAATATTTTATCATTTTATTTTATGATGTAAGTATGTATGCCAATAATATAGCTCAGATCATAGATCTATCAAGAGCCAGAATTTTTCTAATGAAATTAAAGAAGTAGAAAACTACAAAGTTCCACATCATACTTCCATGTTCTACCATTAGTGTCATTTAAAAACATTAGTAAGATGAACATGAGTTAGAAAATGGTGATTTTTGAGTCAATTTTGAGTCATTTTTGTTATGCAGACTATTGAAGTAAATGTTTGAGGGGGGAGGTAATAAAAATGTTGAAAAAAGGCTGATAGATTAAGTGAATTTTTTAAATTTATTCTTATACAAAATCAGGTCAATAACTCAGAGGCTGAAAAAAAAAAACCTGCTAAATTTGACAATGGAGATGTCTCTATTGGTGAGAACATATTTTGTTTATTTTTTTGCTTTTAGGTTGAGGGAAGATACTTAAGGATTTTATAATTCTGATCCAAGTGAGAGGAAGAATGTGCCCAGTATTTTGGAATATTCATATGTAATTTGTGTTCACAGTACTTTTCCATTTCCTTTTCTAAGGAGAGAGCCAGGTTTTAGCAATCCCTTGTCTCAGGGGGATTTCTATTCTGTCTTCTGTGAATCTTGTTTACCCTGAAGCCTGAGCTTCTTAAGAGAGTTATTTCCTAAGGGTCTACCTACTACATATATCAGAGTGAGGATGGAAAGTCTCACGAGACTGATACACACTGCTTTTAAGGATGTTATCAACAGCTCCTCATGCAGTCCTCGTGGAATTTATGTGGGTAGAAGTTGACAGGTCTTCAGTGTCCTGACTATTGCCAGAAAATTATATGAACAAGGTGTACAGGAATGTGGTAATAGCTGCCAGGAATGAGCATACTGTATGCCAGTTGGTTTACTTTATCTCTGTAGAAGTGAAAGTTACCCATGTTCAGCTTATAGATTCAGACTGATCTATAAGTTTTCTTAATTATCTGTGTAGGACTTCAATCTTCTGTTAAATTCATCTGTAAATTTTTTACCTATTTTTTCTACATTGAATCATTGCATTTTTTGTTTTTATTTCATTTCAATTTTGAGAACATTTTCTGTCTTCTCTATGTTGTTACTTTTGTCCATCAGGATATAATTGGTTACAATAGGTTAGTATCTAAAGAATACTATTTTTGAATAGTAGTACTTTATGAGACTCTGTTGTCAATGGGTAAGAAAGAGACGTTTGGGAATTTTATGGGGAATAAACAATGATGTAAAGATGTAAATAATAAATTATTAAAACAAATTAAAAAGATGTTTAAATCATGAGAAAAACTAACAAATGTATCCTCTAATACTGCACATATTCCCTTGATTTTGTAGTGTGTGAATTTATAATAAGCATGTTTAACTTATAACTAGACCTATAGTTGAGATCACCCAACATTCAGAATATGAGATATTCAATTGCTTGCTTGAACATTTACAGTACAAATGTATATTAAGGAGGGATCAAAGTACCAAATTCCATAATTTTATGGAAAATATAAAATATATGTTTTATTCCCTGTCATATATTTAGATAATTGGACTCTTTTTTTTTTTACCATACTCCATAATTTGGAAGTTATATTCAAATTCACCTTTTCAGTGATGGCGATCTCAGTATGGGGCAGTGTGTTATTCTGAGCATAATATTCAGCATCTGTAAAATAGCAAACCCTTAGTTGATGTTCATTGAATGAATAGATGTTGTGAATAGATACATTATATTTTCCTTTTTTTGTACTGGAATAATTTAATAAAATTTAGTAACATCTTAGTTAATATACATTTAATTAAGCCACCAGAATCAAAGTTGACTCTCAATGCTTATAATTTTTCCAGGAACAAGATGAAATCATTCAATTTAGTCCTGGGAGAAAATACTGTTAGATACATTATATTTTCTATTGAGACATTTTCCCAGTTCTTTAAATTGCTAAAATATTTCCCAAACAAGTAACTGCTTCATTTTTAAAAATTGAATTTATTATCCTTTCACTTTTTCATTCATTTATTTAACATTTATTTAAAATCTGGGATATGCCAGGCATAGTGCTGTAGTTGCTTTCACAACTCCCAGTGCAGTATGTATCCTCATCATACTTACAAACCTACTTCATTGACTGCCAAGGGAAATTTCTGGACACGGAGGATGTTTGGCTGAGTGAATAGTAGACTTCCTCCTTTCCATGTGTCCTAGAAAGAAATTCAGAGAAGGAAATGACAGTAAGTATTCAACTGCAAATATGTTTTAGAGATTATATGTAAGGAGAACTTTACTGACCATGGAGTAGTTCTAAATAAGGAGTCTTGGAAAAGTTTTGACAAGAACACATGTTTGGATCAAACAGCCCAATTATACAAAAGACAGCTTGTAAGTAAGGTACCCCAGCCAAGCAGTTCACTCACTAGTGGCTTTTACTCTTAAAGTAGTAATAGGTAAAAATATTTTATTTAATGAGATATTTATATTATTCTTGCTATTTATGGATATCCACTTGAACTTTTGCACTGTAATGCAAGAGGAAGGCGGCACTGACCCACTGGAAAACATAGATGTATGTGCTGTGCTGTTATCCTTACTCCTTTGCTCACAAAACAAGTAATTTAAAATGTGCTGAGAGCAGAGGTTCATGCTGAGGTTTTATGTCTTCTCACATTTTACCCTTTAAAAGTACCCATGCAGAAATTCGTAATATTTCTGCATGAAGATGAGAAAATTAAGACTCAGAAATTCCAGTTTACCTAATTCACTCAGTTACTCAATCGTGAGGTCAGAATTTGATTCCAAGTGGCTGAAAATCAAAACTTCATGATTATCCTATTACATGCCATCCATATCCTGGACCATAAAGAAAACCCAGGTGTATGGCAATGTGATGTAACTGATATGTATTATCTAATGCCTAAGCTGGCTTATTTCAGAAATTAAAAGTCAGTTCAATATTTGGAAATTCACTGTAGTAATTTATTTCATTAAAAAACAAATGGTTTAAAGGACAAAGAGGAAGCATTGTCAACTAGAACTGTGAATAAAGGGGAATGCAGTAAAATTTAAAAAGTAAGATCAGAAAGGATTTTAAGTTTTTTAACAGAAGCTTGCCTGGGTGAAGAGCCATTGGAGGGTTTGATCGGAGGAGAATCCCATAAGGGTATATAATTCAGGATTCTGTAGTGAGAATGTATTAGGTTTGGGGTTGGGGGAGAGTAGTAATGTGAAAATGTTAAAAGCCATTTCAGTAACCTAGGCAAGGTATATTATAGTGTGCAGCATTGGAACTGATGAAAATAAAGTCACATTCTTGATATAGTCTCAGGATAGACCCAAGCAGACTTCCTAATAGATTAATTCTGGAGAGTGGGCGAGGGAAAAATCACAAAAGATTTTGAAGTTTTCAATCTAAGTTCTAAAAAAAATTGCTTCATCTTTCCCTTAGAAAGGATAAACTTCAGGTGGATCAGGTTTGGTTGGGAAGAAGTCAAGATTATAGCTTTGAACTTACATTTGAGATATCTGGACTGGAAATTTAAATTTGGAATTGCTAATCAGTTCTTCTTATTAGCAGTTCAGAATGAGGGCTTTGAATTAACAATTGGACATTGCAACATAGAAGTCATAGCTAATCTTGATTAAGGCATCTTTGGTGGAGAAAATGAAAGTAAAATTTAGTTAGTGGCATTAAGAAAGTATAGTGGGAGAATGTTTGGAGATATTGAGTATATATATTGAGGATAAATCTTTTGAGAAACTTCTGGGAAGGTAAGCAGATGAATAGGGCTTTTGGGAGGGAAAATGAGGTCATGAAAAGGTTATTTTTCTAACATGCAATGGTAAATTTTATGTGTCAACTGTACTGAATGATCAAGTGCCCAAATATTGGGTTAAATATTTTTCTGGGTTAGTATGTAAAGATATTTCTTAATGAAATTAATATTTGAATCCATAGACTGAGTAAAGTAAATTGCCCTCCCAATGTGGGCAAGCCTCATCCAATACATGAAGGACTAAATAAATTAAAAACAAACAAACAGGAGAGACTATTTTCTCTCTTCTTGCTTGTCTTTGAATGGAGACATTGACTTTCTCCTGGCTTTGATCTCAGACAGAAACTTATATCATTGGCTCTCCTGGATCTGTAGATTATTAACTTCAGATCTTGGGACTTTTTATTTATTTATTAAAAATTTATTTTTTTAAATTTATACAATAGCTGGGGTACAGGCCAGACACGCAGGAGGGTGAGAGGATTCACCGGAGACAGCGTGGGGAACAGACCGGGCAGACAGACCTAAAGCACTGCTGAGGAGAGCAGCGCGTGCCAGGAGAGGTCTGCCATGCCATGTGGGAATCTCCCTGGCTGGCCGGGAATCGAACCTGTGCTGCAGAGGCTGTGGACAGCTTCACAGAGCTGCGCTCAACCCGATATACCACTGGGGAGGCCTGATCTTGGAACTTTTTAGCCTCCACAACTGCATGAACCAATTTTTTATAATAAGTACATTAAGGTAACTATAGATAGGTGATAGAGACATAGAGACAGAAATACATGGTAGGGATAGATAGAGATAGATATAGAGACAGATGATTCATATACATATATAGCTATTCAGATATCCTATTGGATTTGTGGATAACTCAGTCTAATGCAAAATGGAAGAAATTGTGTGTTTTTATATACTGATTTGAATGATAAGGGAGCGAGGGTAACAATTTGAGAGGTTATGAGTTTTAGTAGAAGAAAAGGAATGAAAATTATTGTGCAAAGTGAAGAGATTAGAAAAGCTCATTGATAGTAAGAGGTGCCAAGGCACAGTGAATGGATAGAGATGCTGCTTGGTAAATATATACATGGACATGGGCATCCTCAGTTTTCATTTACTTTCTTTTATTTTGCTGAATGAAATAGTGAGTAATCCTACTGGCTAACAAAGAAGGTAAGATGTTGGTGTGAGGCGACTGAGCATGTGAAGTAGTCATTTAGGGGTGTTGGAGAACAAATGTGCTATCCAAACGTAGTAGGTTTGTTGTAAAAGTAATACATGGAGAGAATAACAAAATGGGAGCTCTCAGCCTAAAATTTCTTCCAATAGAGTATATCTGTTGTATGTCTAATCCTTTCCTTGTTTCCTTTCAATAATCTATTTTGGGAATTCCTTCCCCAGGTTCATAACCATCATGGGTCCAAATGCCCATATTTCTTACTTTTTTCCCCTAACTTTCACTTTAAGTTTGTACCATTTTATTTCTTTTCATCACTGTCCAATTTTTTGCCTAGTATACATTAGGCTACAAAGACCAGGTGACACATTAAGAGATAAAGGTATCCATTATTCCATGTGAATAGGCTAGACATGAAGAGGGTTATTGACCTAGAGTCTTAATAATACAATCATGAATTTAGTTTATTTTTATTTCTCTATGCTGCTGTTCATTTTTTCAACTTCATTTAAGTAGGTGTTTCTCTCTCGACTGAGAGATATTTTACCCTTAAGGGAACATTTGATAATATCTAGAATATATTTGGTTGTCAGAGTTGGAAGTTTTCTACTAACATCTAGCTTACAGAGTCCATAGATGTTGCTAAATGTCCTTTAATTCCACACAATGAAAAATTTTCTGGTCCAAGTAGCCTTAATATTTCAATGAATAGTTGTTTCAGTAGAAACAAGGGCTACATATTTCTTTATTAATATTCAGTGGGGGAAAGAAAGGAAACAACCTTGCTTTTAAGAGTAAGGAAACTTCCTAGAAACCTTTTGAATACCTTCTTGTATATCTCATCAGACAAAGTTGGTTAGAGAACTCACTCTGTACTTCAATCACTAGCAAAGCAAAGTGGTTAAGAATGGCATGAGTACCAGAGAAAACTCAAAGTACCAAAGTCAAACCTGGTTCAAAATTGTATTGATAATACTTTGGGAAACCAGATAAAGTAGTTACTGGTGGTAAACCACCATCATTGCACCAATTAAATTTTGAACTAATTTATATTAGTAAGTATATGGTAAATATGGTCTCAGGGAGATAACAAGTGATTCATATATAGATATGTAGCTATCCTATTGGATTTTCCCAGGCTAAGGCAAAATGGAAGAAATTGTAGTGTTTTTATAAACAGATTTGAATGATAAGGGGCTCTGTAAGCTACATATACAATTACCTGGTTTTTTTTTTTTTCCTTTTAAGAGCTGCTAAATGGGCAACACAACCAAAAAAAAAGATCAGATGTTATACTCCCTTCAATTTAGTCACCAGCAGCAGTCTCTTAGGTTTGAATAGGTAGCTACCTGATTTTAGGAAAAGAGGGTGAAGATGACAAATTAAAATACTCAGGACAAGTTCCAGATGTACTGAGATCATTTTCCAGATACATGACAACATGGGGCTGCAGAAAGCATTCATTTATCAGTTGCTTGGTAACCAGCACACCAAAGCAATTCATGAAAAGTGGAAGTAGTAAGACCATAGTTCTTTCTCCTCCTTTAAAAATCTTGGGTATCAGCTAACTTAGTTTATTTATATAATCAAAAATAATATTCCTATTAGTCATTGTTCTTTACAGAGATGAAATCAGAAGGATATAAAAGGAAATTTATTATGAGGAATTAATTCAGACAATTATAGAATCTGAGAAGTACCATCATCTGCCATTGTGAGCTGAAGACTCAGGAAAGTTGTTAGCAAAATTCAGACTAGTCTGACGGTCTGAGAAATAGGGTATCCAGTAATGTAAATCCAGAGCAAGATAAGAAATGAGATGCCCCAGCTCTAGCAGTCAGGTAGAAAACTAGGACTGAATTCCTCTTTGACTTTTATTCAGTATTTAATATGCATACCCCATGGCCCACTCAAACTGATACATAAGATTAAGAAATCCATCCATTGACAATTTGGCTTGCACACACATATGCCCAAACAATATTCAAGCTCCAGATAAAGACAATAGCAAGGTTTTAATTCTACTTAACATTACATAACTCTTCTGTATACCACTGAAAACACACTAACTCCTCCTGAGATGAGGTAAAGTCCTTGGCTGATGTTAAATTTTCTTCTTGATAGCTTATAACTTAAATATTATGACAGAAAATCAATACATCTTATGTTACATAATAAGGATATAGAGAATGAGAGGAAAGAAAATAAAGATATGCATGCTGCACACACGTTTTCTTACCAAAATGAAGAGAAAATACTCATGGCAATTACAGTCTTCGTTCCCATTAAGTAGTTACATGGTCAAAGCTGGTATTTATAACCATCCCCCCACCCACCAACCATCCATTCTGTATTCCCTTTGCTTTCAGTAATCACCTTAGCTAGTCATGCTTCTTTTCCTGGTGGGGTGACCCAAGCCTTCATTCCTCAAGGGTTTGGGCCATTCATAGTCCTGCCTAGATTGGATTGTTATAGTTTTCTGTTGAACTTAATCACAGGGTTTAGTACTACTCAGTGGAACCTGAAGGAATTGCTAGTATTATAGACATACTGTTTCTTGCCTCCATTGTGGAGTAGTGGTCCAATTTCCCCTTTGTAATCAGGATCAATTACCTAAGGCAATGCTTAACTGCCTCTTGTGACTGTTGATTAACAGGTAAAAGGAACTCAGAGTGACAAAGGTTGAGTGGCAGTCTTAACTTCTAGTTCAGCGGAATCTTTGTTGTGTCTCCTGGAGAAAACATAACTTTAGGTATGCGAGGATAAAATCATAGGAACAAGAAATAAAAATTTTGCTAATGTATCACTAGGGATAGTGAGTCATGTCACTCTCATTTCTACTCCAGATTCCAAGATCCATGAATCCTGATGCTTAGAGAAAATAGCACCAAACATTGAATACTGATTCAAGGCATAGACAGCCTTCTGCAGAACTTTTCACCAGTATGGCATTGTGGCATTGTGACTGAGTCTTCAAAAAGTCATTTTACCATTATATGAAGCTAGTTGCTTCAGGAGGGTGGGGAACATGGTAAGATCAGTGACTTCCATGAGCCTGGGCTGTTGCAGGACTGCTTTCATTGTGAAGTGAGTTCTTTGATCAGCAGCAATGCTGTGTGGAATAGAATGATGGTGGATGTGGCATTGTGTGACTTTATGGATGGTACTTTTTTCAGAAGCATTGTATGGAGGGAAGATGAATCTGTATAATATCTTCATTGCTAGTATTTCTGAACCATGGCACACTGGTTAAGAAAGTGTTCAGGGCAGATGGAATTTGTCCATGTTTGTGTATGAATGTGTACCTCTTAAGTCAACCCCGGCATCGGGGGACTTGGTCCTAGACACACTCTCTGTTGAACCAGAACCATGGACAAGGTAATGAATCCATCCTTAGTCGTATTTTTTCTTTGACAATGAGAGGCCTAGACTGAAGGTTTCTAATGGCTCTGCTTTAGCAAAAAAAAAAGAATTTACTTATTTGTATATTGCCAAAGTGTCATGAAAAAAATATTACTCCAAAGTTTCTAAATCCTTATATAGTTAAATTTAATTTAATTTGAAGAAGTACACAGATACTTCATGCCTTCTCATTCCTTCACAGAGTTACCAATAAAAGTTCCTCCAATTCAGTGAACACTTACTATGAAAAGGTCACTTCTAGGCACTAGAAAATTCAGTCATGAGATGTGGGCACACGCAACTTCAATTCCCTTCATGGATTTTTTAGCTTCCATTTCACAGTAGGTCTGAAGGCGTATGCATATCATAATTTTATACAAGAAAGGCTTTTCGGTTTTCCCTCTTCTTTCTTTTCTTTTTTTTTTAAAATTATTTATTTATTTATACAAGCACTGGGTACAGTCAGAAGCACGGGAGGGTGAGAGAATTCACCAGAGCGGGGAGCAGAGCCGGCAGAAGGACCTAAGTACACTGCTGAGGGGAGCAGCAGGTGGCAGGAGAGGTCTGCGCACCATGTGGGACCCTCCTCCGGTGGCGGGGAGCAGCTGGGGATCGAACAAGCACTGCAGAGACTGTGGGCAGCTTCGCAACCCAGCGCTCAACTGCTGCGCCACCGGGGAGGCCCTTCTTTCTTCTTTCTAAGCAACTATTATTTTAACCTGTTTTGACAAAATTGTCCAGCATATAACTACATTATTATTAAATTGTTTAACATCATTACTCATGACTGTCAGTTTTGCCATTAATATTTTGAGGGTTTATTACTAGTTAACACTATTTTCATTTTATCTTGAGTCATTATGGTATGTTGGTTGAGAATTCTGGGACTTGGTTATAGTTTTGAACCCTTTGTCACTTATCAGTTGTGGTCTTGGATGGGATATAAAATCTCTGGATCTCATTTTCTTATCCATAAAATCTGCATAGAATAATACATAGGATACTATGTGGATCAAATGAATTATTTCTTTGATATTATTGAGAAGCATGAAGGGTACATGGTAAAAGTGTAGAGAACATTAGCTATTATTTTTAGTATTATATTCATTTTCCCCCTGCTCTTATTTTGTAGCATAAGTCAGTGAAAAGAGACAATTCATGAAAATGCTTCACTCTAAAATATTTTGTTAGATATAGTGATTTTATTTAGAAATTTTGTAATAATATACATAGTAGAGAGACTAATACTATAATATTAAATACACCAATGATGGGTTATATTGAGCTTGAAAAATAATTTTGCTAAATGGTGGATCATTGTAAGTATGTGTGAGCATCTGTTTACCTACTTATCCAAAACTTTGAATTACCTTATTTGTACAGAAATGTGGGTCTTTGAGAACAGAATGGAATTTTCCAGAGAAAATTCCCTTTTGAAACAGTGATTCACTTCACCTCAGAGGAGGAAGGAGAACATATAAACTATGATTTAAATATGCTTCTTGCAGCTGAGCAAGATGACTGGAAAGGAAATGAATTAGTTGAGGAGCCAGAAAGAGTGAACAGGTGTGTGTACTTGAGTATGAAGAATAGGAGGATTAGGGAGAGAAAGGGAAGCAGGTGTGAGAAAGTTGTATTAATGCACACTGTTAAGGCCAGAGCCAGAAGTGTGTTTGGGGTGAGTAGAATTGAGATCAAGGATGGTAAGTGGTTGTTTCCAAATTCATGCTTGTAGTTGAGACAGGCAGCACCAGGAAGTGCTGATGTGTTCATTTGGGAAAATTGTTTGGAAATGATTCATTTTGTTTAGACAGAGACACAGAATAAGAGCTGGAAGGGACCTAAAATTTCTGTCTCCAAAATCATGCAAAACAGATGATGGTTGTCTATGCTAATTATAAAGTTGCCTAAGGGAGATTTTCCATCATTTAATGAAACTTCACTGTAAATGACAGCCACCACCAATATAAGTGCATTTCAGTGATTATCAAGAAAATATGAAAACAATGCTATTTGAAAAATTAACATTTGCATAAAAAAAGGCTAATCCTCTTATATTCTATGTTCTCTTCCCTCATTTTATTCTGGTCATCTACTTTAAATGAAAAGGGATTTTCATTCCTTTGTATTACATTGGTGAATGTAAAGGCTTTGTGCCTCCTTCATTTATCCTGCTGGCTTTGATGTGCTGACTTTTGTTCTCAAAAACTCAGTTTTTGTATTAGACTCCTGGACCAGTTACATCTCTCTTTCTCTAGTTCAATCCTGATCAGGGAGATAACCGTCCTATGGCGCAGCCCACCTCTCCTGTCTTGCCCCTTGCTACCCTTAGCAGTGTATTTCAGTAGATGTGCCTGTTCTGCTCCCCACTGTTTCTGGTGAATCCTCTCAAACTCCCAGCCTCCTGTAGCTCTGGCCTACATTGCATTTCTTCAAATAAATAAATAAATAAACAAACAAATATTTTTAAAAAGGTTTTAACCTTGCCTATCATATTCAATAATGTTTTACAGGACTTTTCAAAGGGAATGGAGATAAGAAAAATAAAGAAAAAATCAAAGAAATCAGAAAAAAGAGTCAGCATAAGCATATAGATTAATATTAATTTGAGTATTTTGCCAATAAAATTTTAGATATTTTCTATGAAATTAATGTCATATTTAAATATTTGTTCAGAACCTAGGTTATCCTTTTCTTTAGGGAAATTTATTTTCACTTTTGCCATGAAACTTAAGAATATTGAGCCATCACATAAAAATGTTCTATTTACAATATATTGCCCTAGTTTAGACCAAAAATGGTACACTTGAATATAATCCCTTTGGCAACTCTATTCAGCTAAGAGGTAAAAATTTTTGAATTTATCACCAAGAGGGTGTGACTCTAAGTCAGAAGTGTGGTTGTCAAAATATGGTATCTCACCAATAAGTGATTCCCATATCATTCAATTTCTTCTGCAGTGCCAGGAGATCTGTTTCCTAGAATAAAAATGAAGCACACTAAATGAATGCATTAATTATTTCAATCTCTTATGATAATGCTTAGAGGTAACCACAAATTATTTAACTTTAACAAATGTAGCATGCTTTTTTGCGCTACAATAATAAATTACTTCATTTATATTAAAAAAAGAACAGAGTCTAGACTTTTAACTGATTTGCACATTTACCTTTTCTGAAATTCCTATTTAGAATACAAACATTGATGCTGGCTTCCAAGGGTCATTTTATTACACTTCATGAGAAGTCTCAAGAAGCAAGGAGAGCTAAGTCATAAGGATATAAAAACAGAGTGACATTCCTTTTACTAATGGTTAAAACTGAGTAATAGGAAATAACATGGTGATTTCTCTTAGGAAAACCCCTAATTCCTACTCTTACTTTCCTAATTTCTTCAAATTAAGTATATTTCTTGCAATCACACAGTTAACAATTTTACTCTATCTTTCAAATTTATGGTGAAAAATGGGCCACACACATTGTACCTCTCCTTTATCCATAAATAGACCTCACTGAATGACAGTAAAGATATAAAACATAATGTGTCCCTAGGAATGTTACAAACAAGAGAGGATTCCTCCAGTAAGCCAGAGATTTGATGAACTTTTGAAACTATGAAAGTGAAAAGCGTTAATTAATAGGTTAAGTCAAATGGACCAAAAAAGTCACAGCTTGAAACAGAGGAAGCAGGAAGATACTACAGCTGAGGGAGAAGCTTCCTAACTGAGCGCCAGAGAAATTCCAAGTTAGGAACTGGTGGACAACTAAAGGGCAGGATTGGGCAGAGTCAGAGTGACTGGTCTAATTTGACTTCTCTTCATTCTGTGCATCTGTTGGAGCAGCATTTTAGAACTTTTTTTTTTTTTTTAAGATGGAAATCCAAGACTTATGTTCTATACAAAGAAATAGATTTAGGGAGGGATTGATGAGAGTGTCTGTAGTAAGGTGACGTGAGTAAAGTAGAACCATAAAGGACACCCGCTGTGTGGAACTTCTTGTACCATAATAGCACAGGAATAGACAGTTCTTGCCAGAAGTGAATTGTGGAAAAGTGATTTACTTCCAAAGTAACATATGCTTTACTTTGGCATTTGTGGATCTCTTCAGCCGGTCTTCCCCTCTCGGGTGTGTAGGGAAACTTGATTTTTAAAGTTAGTAAAAACAAGTTATAAGGGAATACGAGTCACCATAACTAAGAAGAACTCTTGAAAATTAAAAGTATGCAGAAAAATAAAATTACACAGATCTAATTTAGAAAAGAATTAGGGAGTTGGAAATAAAGCTGAGGAAAAATAATCAGACTTCAGCAAAAACGAAGATGAAAATGTTAATAAATATGAGAGGCAGAGAGAACTCATTGCAAGTAGTAAAAACAGAGAAAATGGAATTGAGAAATGGGGATAATAAAAAAAAAATATGCAATTGGTCAGAGCAGTCCAGAGGGAGAAGGAATATTTGAGCAAAAAGTTGAGAGAATGAATCTTGCAGATAACTGTGGGCTAAGTATTCCAGGCAAAGAAACCTGTATCTATGTCTATGACAGGCCAGAGGTGGGAACATGCCTGGTTTCTTGAGCAACAGCAAGGAAGTTACTGCAGCTAGAACTGAGTTGCCAACAGTGAGGGTAGTTGTACATGAGGTAAGAGAGGTAATTAGTGCCAGATTTTCTTGGTCTTTTTGACCATTGCCACCTCACCCTAAGCTGGAGAGAGAATAACTGGGGAGTTTTGAGCAAAAGAATGACATGAGCTAATATTTCTATTCTTGGTTAAAATGTGTTAACTAACTTTTGTTTTTATTAATATGTGTGCTATATTCTGAGTCTTTGGGTATTTGGAATTGTTTCGATTACTTTTATTGTGTGAGTAAAAATATCCTGGCTTTTAAAATCTTCACCTGTAACAACAGTAGACATTATGCTCATGTCTTCCCACATCTAATGTGGTAGAGAAAAAGGAGATGATTCTTACTGTTATTTTTGTGTAGAAAATATCTATCTCTTTCAATAAATCTCACATACTATTTACCTTTTAACCTCAAATATTTCACCAGAGATAACAAAGAAGTGTCTATTTTCTATATTTACCATTAATTTGATTACATACAAGAGTCCACCCTTTCCATAGTACCACTAGAACATTAATTTAACTGTTATCATGTGTAACTCTTATTTAATCCTCACAACCATCCAATGAAGAAACTACTACTATTATCTTTACTTTAAAATGAGTGAGGTTTAAAGGGATTCATGCTTGTTATAACTGTCAACAGGGTACACTTAGTCCTTGATACCCCAACTGGTGGACTGATTCTCCTTGAGGCTGAGTTGGGATGAATCCTGCTCATATATGTAACCTATTTAACTGCTAAGAAAGGGGCTCCAGGGGCTGGAAGATCAGCCCTGACTTTGGGGAGTGCATAGTCACAGTGGGGAAAGGAACTCTAGGTGGGAAATGGTTAACTCAGGCACTTCTCAATACAGGCCCAGGCTTCTAGAGAACTCAGTGTTCTCCATCACACATTTGATCTCTACATTCTAACTTTATTCAACTAAGAACAGTTAATCTCTTATATGTGCTTCTAGATCTTAGGTAAAACTATCTGATGTTATTTTCCCAAAACATCTTTCCCCAAGACATGTTTGACTATAAACATTTTCTGTTTAACTATATAATGGCTAGGAGGGATGGTTACTATGGTGGATATTTTTGGCTGCCTAACAGCAATAATTCCCTAAAATTTACTTACGAAGTCTACTTTGTTTAAGAGGTGGGCTGGGAGGTCTTAATCTGAAGAAAATAAGACAACCTGCCAAACCTAGGAAATGAATTGTGATTAGTTTACACTGGGAATGGTGATTTCATTCTCATTTTATAGATGCTTACAGTTGGGAGTGATCAAGTGATCACTTTTCTTCTAGGTAAAGGTGCTTCTGGAAAGATATCTCCAATACAAGAGACAAATATGGGACTAGTGTTAGATGAGCCTCCTCTTCCCCTTTATCCTGCTCAGAAGATGGACATAGTAGCATGTTGAGCTGTAACAGACATCTGTTAATCAGAAGATAAATAGGAAATATGAAACTATGATAGAGCAGAAGGAAAAAGATAGCCTGAGTTCCTGAACTGCTGGGTTTACATTGAGAGAGCATTGACTAAGTAAACAAATATTTTTATGGTTTCAGTCACTATATTGTAGCCAGAAGTTTCCAAACAAACATAGCAATTTAGAGAATAGTATTTGATGAGAGTATTGCCATACCAAATATTTTAAACTAAAGAAAGTCAATATAGATATAACTATTTACCCATTAATGAGTATTTTAGACACTCTGTTTTTATCTATAAAGCAAGAGGTTACATAAAACAGTAACAATACACCTATTAATCAATTGACCTATTATATGTTGGACTTTATGCTTTTGAATTTGTCAATAACAGCCAAAATCAACTTAATACCAATTCTTTTTTTAAATATTTTTTTAAGATTTATTTATGCATAAAAGAACTGGAATGTAGGCCAGAGGTGTGGGGAGGGGGTGGTGAGAGGGTTCACCAGAGACGGAGTGGGGAGCAAAACAGGCAAATTTACTGAAATACACTACTGAGGGGAGCAGAGGGTGAGACAGGAGAGATTTGCTGCACCATATGTGGGTCAGCTCCTTGGCCCAGGATAAACCTCAGGCTGTTGCAGTGGTAGCCCTGAGACTTAAGCCTTAGGGCACCAGGGAGGTCCTGGACACCAGTAGTTCTAGTTGCTTATGTTTGTTACAGATAATTCCCTAGCAGAGTCTGTTGGAAAGTCTAATTGCAATTTGACTTGGAGCAGTAGTCTCAGGGTAACTCATTCTTGCATATTCGATTCTGAACTGTGCTTTGCTATATAATTTTTTTCTTATATCTAGTTAATTATTAAGGAGAATTTGCATGCTTTGGGAATTTTTGCCATGGCTGGTGGAAATGTTTTAACATGCCCTATACATAGCTAGGTCTGTAGACATCAGGTGATTGCAGTTATCAGGTTGGTTGTTAGTATCAAATGTAAGTATTTACCTTCTTAACTGGAGCTGAAACTGAAAACAATAGACATGGGGAAAAAATATGGGCCCTGAGTAAATTCATAGAACATTGATGGGAAGGGATGAAATAAACTCAGTTTGAACACATGTCACTTAGGTGTCATCCTTATTATAGAAAGTAGATAATGTGCAAAAATTTAACCACAAAGAATTTTTTAAACACATATTCTTCAGAAATGTCTAAATCCTTTAAAGACTGCTATCTGTTTGGAATCCTAAAGTCATACAAAGGAAAAAAAAGTAGAAAAGTTTCAGGGGTTATCCACATGATTATTAATGAACTGAGAATAAAAGTGATGAGTGAAGTCCAAAGAATCTTTATTGTTTAGTCTTGGTTAAACACTGAGAGATGAGCCTGATCTCTAAGTATATAAAAGATGAATATACAAAGGAGTCGAGCCAGCTGTTCCCCGGCTTCATTGGTGACTGAAAAGGCAAAAATGGGCTTCATTTGTGATTGTCTTATGGACATAGGCCTAGGCAAAATCTAATGTTAGTGTAACATGGGGATAATGTGCCACTCCTTTCTTCAAAAGGATATTCTGGGATGTTTTGACCTTTGAAGTCTTTTGACTCTATTTCATGATTCTAAGAAAACCAAATCGAATAAGATAAAAGAGTAAGTGGGAGAAAAATATCTTTCAGAATGTTAACAATAACATGCAGCCTCAGATTAGTTATTGCTCTTTGTTCCTTTTTGGAAGTTTTAAAACTCTAAAAGGAAAAAATAACATTCAGTGGGAGGAGATCAACTTGGATATTAGTAAAGTTTAAACTTATTATAAATTGCTAAGTTATACATCTCAAGTAGTACATTAGTGAAATATAAGCTCACTATACTAGTAATTAAATGGAGCTCTAACTGTTGGTGAGCCCTCTTCTTCCCACTGAATGTGGATGA